GCAACGGGAGAGGCCACAACAGTGAGAGGCCTGCGTACCGCAAAAAAAAAAAAAAAAAAGAGACTCATTAAAATTTTCATTATTACTTAAAGTTTCAGGCATTAAAATTATCCTTCTCACAGGGCAAGCTGAGCTCCTTGGCTGCTGGTAAGATATGCAAATAACTGAGACATCTTTATTTTATAAACATGTCATTTCCACTCACGTGCCCGGCACATGGTGGACATTCCACAAATGTTCACTGAACTGAATGTACAGCTTTCCTTTTCCCAAGAAAAAGGAGCCTCCTGAGCAGCAGAAAGAAACCCGAATGTCTTCCTTCCATGATTCTACCCCAGTGTCCAACCACAGTCACCTCCCATCTCAATGGTGAGTTGAGAAACATTTAGAAGTGACCAAAGTTGTGTGTAGTATAGTCATTAATACTATTCACCAGAGTTCAAGCCTTCTACCTTCCGAGCACATGGAAGGCTTGCACTTCCTGGCCCCTGGTGGTTGGATGGGGCAGGGGGTCAAGGGGCTGTGACCAGAAGTGATGTGTGTCACTTCCAGGCCAGAGAATTTAACTGCCAGGGTGAGGCTCTCCAGGGCTTTCCTTCCCTCTGTCATGGTGACTAATGGCATTCAAGAAGGGGATGCCCAGCCAGCTTCATCCTGATGTGGAGCTCACCCTGGACAAACCAGGAGGGTCACGTGGTACAGGCAATAACTACCCCTTCTGTTGTTTAGAAGCCACCAAGAGATATGGAGTTTGTTTGTTACCTGTTACAGCAGATCCTGGCCTAGCCTAACTGATTGAGCATCTGCCCAGAGTACTTTGCCATAATTTACCACATCTTCACAAACCACGTGGTGTAGGATGAAAACACAGCACTTCTCAAGGATCTCAAAGATGAAGGAAGTCATCCAGGTGTCCAAGTTTTATCCATATCTGCTGTGTGGCCAGATGCTGCTGTGCCATCTCTTTCTGTGACCACCAAGCTGGAAAAATGGGCTAAGGTGACTTCCTTCTATAACTAGCTCCTAGAAGTAAACACCTTCTAGGATAGCTTATGGCTGAAAAAATACTGCAGGATTCTTTGATACCTCCAGCCAAATCCTCTCTAATCTCCACAGGAAAATAGCACAGGGTGAATATACTGCCTGGGTATCTCAAAGCCTAGATGCCTAGTCCATCAATCAGTAACAAATACTTTTTTAGTATCCATTCTATTCCACCTTTGCACTAGGTGACTGGGAAGCTGAAGTAAACAATGAAAATCCCTGTCCTCAAAAACCTTTCATGCTAGTGGACGGTGACAAAGCAATAAACCTATACACAAGCAAATTAAAAATGTCAGGTACTGATACGTCCCATGAATAGGATAAAACAGTGTAATGATACAGATCAGGGTTGGCCAACTCTGACCTGTGGGCCAAATCCAGCCTGCGGCCTCTTTTTATACGGCCTGTGGGCCAAGAAATCCTTCCTACAATTTTAAATGGTTGCAACAAATGGAAAGAAGCCTATTTCGTGATGCATGAAAATGATGCACAATTCAAATTGCAGTGTGCATGAGGTTTTCCTGGAACGCAGCCACACTCTACGTGATCTGCCCCGGCTATTTCTCCAACCTCCGGAAGCACAGCTCTGGCCTCCGCTCTCCCTACTGCAGCCACACTGGCCCCTCCGCACGGCCAATGCATGAAGTGGCCTCCGCTTCCCTCACTTCCTCCAGGGCTCTGCACAAAGGAAACGGAATCAGACGGGTCCCCCGCACCCGTCCCTCTGTGTCTCCGCCCCCTTCTTGATCCTCTTCGTGGCACTTTTCACCCGCCACACGTGGAATATGAGTTCCATGAGGGCTGAAACACTGCCTTATTTCCTGCTGCATTCGACACAGTACGTGCTCAATAAATAAACAAATGAATTGTCAGATGTTGGGAAGTTCTAAGGAGAGGCAAGGGAGAGCCTTTAGGAACAGGACATCACAACCAGTCAAGACTTTCATGATGCACGGGGGCCTCAGAGAGGCTTTGCTTTATAATGTCCTAGTATCTTGGTAGAGACTATAAGATCTAGTGGTAAGACAGAGAGAAAAGAGGACTTCTGGACTTCCCTGGTGGCGCAGTGATTAAGAATCCGCCTGCCAATGCAGGGGACACAGGTTCGAACCTTGGTCCGGGAAGACCCCACATGCCGCGGAGCAACTAAGCCCACACACCACAACTACTGAGCCTGCGCTCTAGAGCCCACGAGCCACAACTACTGAAGCTTGCACGCCTACAGCCTGCGCTCCACAACAAGAGAAGCCACCGCACCGCAGTGAAAAGTAGCCCCCGCTCGCCGCAACCAGAGAAAGCCCACGCACAGCAACGAAGACCCAACACAGCCAAAAATAAATTAATTAAATAAATAAATTTATATAAATTTTTAAAAAGGGGACTTCCCACCATAAAAGCAACCTAAGAAGAAATAGGGAGATTGGGATTGACATGTACACACTGCTATATTTAAAATAGATAACCAACAAGGACCTACTGTATAGCACAGGGAACTCTATTCAATATTATGTAATGACCTAAATGGGAAAAGAATCTGAAAAAGAATAGATATATGGATATGTATTACTGAATCACTTTGCTGTACACCTGAAACTAACACAACATTGTTAATCACCTATTCTCCAATATAAAATACAAAGTTAAAAAAAAAAAAAGAAATGTCTCATCTCACCTCATCTCAATCACTTTCCCAATTGTGGATAGTTTCCCACCCTCTCTCTGTTAATCTCAAGTGGTGGGAAAGAGCTGAGCTTAGAAAGGTGCTCAGAAACAATTTACTGTCACTTGTGTCCCTCTTCCTCTACTACCTCTAGGCCACTGTGGTAATGATAAAGGTGCCTGGGAGTTCCAGATCGTCCTACGTTACATCCTACATGGAAGCATTCGTGTGTCCAAATACTGCATTTTCATTCCATAAATTATCTTTATAAGACTGTCCGAAGAGCAGTTCCTTAACGAAACTCGCTCAACATACAGCTTTAATGTGATCTTTTTTCTAGAGCTTTTAGGGGTCTAAAGGCTAATCCGCCAAGTCCAAATCAGGTGGTTGTTTTTTTTGGCCACACCACGCAGCCTGTGGGATCCTAGTTCCCTGACCAGGGAGTGAACCTGGGCCTTGGGCAGTGAGAGCGTGGAGTCCTAACCACTGGACTTCCAGGGAATTCCCCAAATCAGGGGTTGTAAATTAAAAAATAAGTCATACAAGGAAGTAGTATATTCAAGCTATAAGATACAGAGGGTCCTACTGTATCCTGAATAGCAATAATAGGCTAAAGTGATATAAAAGCTTCAACCACCAGTTAAGGATAGAAAAGATCTGTGTACAGAAGCATGTAATGCAACGCATTTACCTATAAGGTCATAAATGAAGAAGAAATTAATGGAAAACATTTCAAATGTATTTTGTGCCAAGGATGGTGCCTGATACGAAAGTGGGCACGAGCTCGTTGGGCCATCTGACTAGCAACGAAGTCAATGGACTTCCCTGTGCACGACCGTAGGGAGAGCAGTGGGGGCGGGTCCGCTTCCTGGAATTAAATATGGAAGGTGCATCTTAGTCCTTGTTATTCAATTCCCTTTAGAGACAATTTCAGGAGAAGGCAAGTGACACAAAGATTATGAAGTCTCGTGAGCCATGTGGCTTCACACGGTACTTAGAGGTGTCCCACATTCCTGTGGATCTTGGATTTATTCCAGTCTCAGGCCGAGTTTGAACAACTCCACCACTCAGCAACAGTCTTCCACCACTGAAGTGATGAAAGAGGGGGCTGAAAGGTCATGTGGGGAAGAAGGAGACAAATTCCGTCAGAGAAGAGTGGGGCAAGCCTACCAGGACCCGGAATTAATCCTTCGTCACTCTCCTGGTATGTCTGCATCAGTGACTTTGAAGAGATTTATGGCAATGGCTTCCCCTAGTGACTTAAGGGGGTGCCAAGGTTCCTGGTGACAAACAATGCTTATCAAATACACCAGAAACAGTGCTGGTCAGAAGGTCGATGTGAATGACAGGACAGTGAGGTTGCAGGTATTTATTTATCAAACGCCCAGAATGTCTACACTATTGTACTCAGGGCTGTCACATACAGACGTGAGACTATGTGGATGGAGCATCCTAGAGTTGTGCAGTGCACGCTCTGTGCAACTGTATATGATTACACCAACATATATAAAAGCTGGAGAAAACAGACACAGAAATAAATGCCATATCTAGGTGGTTAATCTGATTATACTAGTGAGCCAGAAAGAGGCACTGGGTTAATCTTATTTCTAGAAGAAAACACGTTCTGCTTAGATGATTGAAAAACTTAGCAGCTAAACAGTACGCACAGTAGATTTGAGTTGAGATTTTCCAACAGATTCATCTCAGTTCACAAATTCCATGCACTACTGACCCCAAACAGCTGTCCTAAGTACAGCTAGCAAGACTAATGAAATCAGGATGCCTTACACTCAAATGGCTTTGAGAGCAATTCTGCAGGGTATTGGTAGCCTTTTGCATGGTTACTGCAGAAAAAAAAATGTTCACAGACTTGTGTAACTGTACTAGAGGCACTGCTAGTCTAAGCTGAAAAAATAGGAGGATGTTCAAGGCTAGAAAGTGACCACTGTGGGGGAAGGGCAACCTCGCGATAGAATTGGCATCATTGCCATCCTTTTGGGAAAAGAGGTGGTTAGAAGAGGGGAGGGTGGAGAGAAGAACACGCTCACGGACCGACCACCAAGGAGGACCCTGGACACGTCTTACAATAAATGAAACATTTTTATCTCAAAATGCACAAAATACATTCATATCCCAGTGTCCAAACCATTACCATCTTGAATATGCTTTCATACTCAATTTTGATTTAAACAAGAAGAACATTAACATTAAGAAACACATATCTTCTTGGATTTTTCTCTTAAGAGAAAGTTACGGGGGAAAAGGAAATGTATAATAACCAATATGATATACCTCCTTAGCCCTCACCACCCACTCGTATCTACGCCCGAACTTCTGTTTAACTGTACGCACGTCTTTCCTTCGCATCGGAAAGATTTAATTGAGCCAGGGGTTGGGTGGACTTAAAGACAGCTGAACAGCCTGAAAAGCCTTACTTACTTCAAACAAGTCTGATTTTTTTTTCTCCTGTCCCCTAGGCTCAAAATGAGATTCCCTTTTACCTGCGATCTGGCATTGAGATCCCACATCCAGGCTGGTGGCAAAGAAGTGGAGCTGAACGACGGTGATCTCTCTCGCGTCCGTTTGGAATTTGGAAAGTTAGAAAGGTGTCGCTTGTTGGGCAAGGTGACTCTCTACCCCTAACACAGAGTTCAACCTTCGCAGAAATACTGTGTATCTCTTTCTGTAGTGTAAGTACATCTGTGCTTTATACATAAGAGTAAGACGTTTTCACCCCCAAGGACCAATTTTCCCCTGTTGGGGGCGATATCACCCTTGTTGAAAATGCATTTCCTAATGACAGCTACAAAAACTCAAGTCCACTTTGATTGCTCACGGCCAGAAATTCCAAAATCAATAATGATTTAGCACCACTTCAGTCAAAACAATTATATCTGAATCATTTTCAAAATCAAAAGCTGAGAAAAATAGTACAGTCTATGAAATACAATAAAACTGGGCGAAATAGTGCTCAGACAGTAACATCCCAGTTAATCTTTTTTCATTACTCTCAATTCATTGGGCTCTATCTGACGCTTGCTCATAGAATCAAAGATTTGATTATGGTTGAGTTTTACACACGTTTCAAAAAGCAAAGGACCAAAACGACTTCAGAGAAAAGATTTTTCTAGATGGTGGCAATGGGTAATTTGGAAAACCAGATAGAAAACATCTGTAGAAAGCATGGCAGTTTTCAGTTCCCAGAAGAAATTAACTAACTAAACTAGCTCACAGGTGACCTGAAAAGAAACAGCCCCCAAAGTTATCTGTGTCGTAAAAACAAGTCAATGCTTCATGAGAAAATCACTGTGGTACAGCAGAAAGTAACACAACCTTGTAAATCAATTTGTTTCAAATAAAAAAAAATCACTGTGCTATCTGCATATACAGTTGAGGGGAAACTTTCATGTCCTATTACAACTCCAAAAGCCCCCACCCCCAGCGTTTTCAAAAACTCATGGCAAGAATCTTAGTAAGCCTAAGAAACAGAATACTCATTAACAAGTACAGAATATATCCTGCCCACTACGAGGAGTGTTATGCATTTTTATATTGTCTCAAAAATAGTGGCGGCAAAGAAAGAACATCCTCTGTATAAGCCAACTTAAAAATCTGCATCACATGAAAAATTGAGCTCACCTACCTTCACTGGTCCATGTTCATAACTGGAGCTCTGCACCAACTGCAGAGAAGACATCATGAAAATATTCACCACTGCCCACTGTCTGTACATTTTGAATATTCTAATATCCACTGATTACCAAGCAGTTGACCTCAGGCAGCTAGAGCAAACTGGTTCAAAAGGCATATTCTCCAGAAGGAAAGTTCGAAACCCCAGGAGTTCACAGGGGAAAACAAATAATCAGTTGTGATCAAAATCAATTAGTCAAGGTACGTTTCTGCACAATCTTATGGGGGGGGAGAGAACTGAAAAAAAGTTTAAATGTTCGTGCGCTCCCAAAATAATCAGGAAGTGGATATGTCTTCTACTTGAAATGAGAAAGCCTCTAAGTCCATCTCATTTCCAGCAAACTAAAAAAAAAAAAATCTTCCCCCCCTGTGCCCCAGGTTTGAGTTGTTTTAGAAGGAGGTGGTTTGGCCACCAATGTTTGCAGCTACAGGAGGCTGGGACCCAGTTGTGGATTCAAACTTTTTTCACAACCCTCATGGAAGCTTGCAGGAGCATGTTGTCTTAAATCTGACACACATTTTGGCAGAAAAAGCAGGGAAGTCTTGGCCGTAATCCTGTCGTGTCCCTACCAATAGCAGGGCAGTTTTGAAAACTGACTGGAACGCTCAGAACTGCTGTTACTTTACCCACGGAGATAACCTGTAACATGAAACCCCAGCACATAGGCATCGAAACTGCGTTGCTCAGAAAGAGACCTCAGATGCTCACGCACCTCCATCAGTGACACACAGAAAGTAATCAAATGTGCTTTAAAAAACACACAGGCACAAAGACGACAAAATGTCCACATGCCCATGAAAAGGAAAACATAGACAAAATAATTTTTTTAACAGAAGTAACTTAGATTGAAATGAAGAACACTGATTTTTAAAGAAGCAACAATTAGGTTTATTTGCTTGGGCCAGGAAATATCTCACAGACGTTGCTATAGAAAACATGTCATCACTTGAGTGTGGAATTCTTCAGAAGCACTGGCGAAGTCAGCTTTGGAAAATGGATGCACTGAACAGGTGGATGCCACAAAGGGCAAAATTCTACAAGGCAGCCAGACCTGCCCTTGCGCTTGTCACTAGTTTCCAATCCTTGATTTCCAGGTTTTGGCTCTTTCAAAGCCGTTTTTCGCATTTCTGAAATCAAGAATGGCCTAAGAAATCTCTTCATCTGTGTTCATCACAAATGGACCTAGAGCAGAAAGAGACATTCAGAATGTTCCGGGTGACGAGAATATTTTCTTCTACCGTGAAAATGGTATGCATTTCTGTAGTTCTTAATTTGAGACAAACTCAGGCATATCTGAACAGCAGAAGGTTATTTTTGCAGCGTCCAATCTCCGAGGACTGTAATACAAGTTTCTTGACTACAATTGTGTATGATTATAAAGACCAAACTTCAGATAAACAAATGCAATTATATCTCACTCATCCATTGCAGGCTGCCATCAGCAATGGCAATCTCTTTATTCAAAACATTCTTAGGTTTGGTTCTATTACGACCATTTTTGTAGCTGTTTTTTTTTTTTTTTTGCGGTACACGGGCCTCTCACTGTTGTGGCCTCTCCCGCTGCAGAGCACAGGCTCCGGACGCGCAGGCTCAGCGGCCATGGCTCACGGGCCCAACCGCTCCGCGGCATGTGGGATCTTCCCGGACCGGGGCACGAATCCGTGTCCCCTGCACCGGCAGGCGGATTCTCAACCACTGCGCCACCAGGGAAGCCTGCTGTTAGTTCTTTTTATCGTTATTTTTTATAGAGGTATAAATGACTTACAACCTTATATTAGTTTCAGGTAAACAATATAATGATTCAATATTTGTATATATTGGGGAATGATCGTCACAATAGGTCTAGTTAACATCTGTCACTATACATAGTTACAGAAGTTTTTTTTCTTGTGATGAGAACTTTTAAGATTTATTGTAGTTGTCAGTTGCACTAGCATTGGCTGATGTCAAGAATTTAACTGATCTGATTTTTTAAATTGGCAAATCTTTTCACAGTGTTGGTATCTCCACAGTATATGAGGCTGTGTCCTTGCATGAGGGGTCTAAGTCATTTTTGACAATTAGTAGCATCTCACTGACAATAAAAAGGAGATTATAAAAATTTCAAGTCAAGAAAGCATCACATTTTGGATTCTCTAGGGGTCAGTGCACTTTTCCTGTAAAGGGCCAGACAGTATATATTTTAGATTTTGTGGGTCAGACGGTGTCTGTCTCAACTACTCAACTCTTCTACTGAAGCGCAAAGCAGCCAGGCAATATAGAAGTGACTAGGGATGGCTGTGTTCCAAAAAACTTCATTTACAAAGACATGCGCTGGACAGATTTGACCCATGGTCACTGTTTGTCTAATTCCTAGGGCTGAACTTGGCATTTGCTAAAAGTGTAGAAGAAGTCCTCCCCTAATCGACCAGGAGGCAAAATGTCTGTCTCTTCCCTCTCTTCACATACGGTAGGAGCATCCACCTGTTGGATAAACGAGGCCAGCTCTTATATGGTGGCATTGGCAGTGTCTTGAAAGCGGTTGACAGATTTGTCCATTCGGTCAGGATATTTCTTCCCCCAGTCTTCAGAGGTGCCGTCAGGAACCTTTTACGAAGTGCCTCCTCTAAGAGGCTTTCTCTGAGAGACCCGGATTAAAATATAACATAAAACTTGGAATAACACAGGCAAACTTCTTAACTACTCTTGGCGTATCAGCACAGATTCGGCACCCACTTTAGTGCTTGAGAAGGAAGACCCAGGATCACATGCTTTGATGACACTGACGCCTTTTGGGAGATTTCAGGGAATAGGATGGCAAGAGAAAGGGAAAACAGGTAGCAGGTGTGTAAATTCATTCATTCACTCAATGACCTATCTATCCAGGATTTATTGCGTGCTTACTTAATGACAAACATGGTGCTAGGAGCTAGAGACATAAAGCTGAAAGCCAAATTAATGACAGACTCCCTCCCCTCAAGGACCTCAAATCTATAACACAAACAGATATGAAAACAAATTATTACAAAACAGTGTGATACACAGAACGATAAATGTATGGAAAATGCAAAGAATCAGCACAGAAGGGGAGAAGGAGGTAACGTCTGCACAGGCAGACGTGGTGGAATGGCGTTTTCGGGACCGGCCTGCAGGAGGACGTGAGGGTGCGGAAAAGGAGGAGGGTGGAGTCTGATATGTAGCAAGGGGCCCGAGCCCTCTGGGTTTTGGACGCCATCTATGGGAAGAAGTTTGGACATAATTCTGCAGGTGATCTGGAATCACTGAAGCGTTAAGGACAGAACAATGTAATCTGCTCTGCAGTTTTTAGAAGAAGACTTTGGCATCAGGGTAGAGAAGATGCCTGGCCTGGGAGGCTGAGTTGATGGTGGAATTGTTTAAGGGTAACTGAGACACAAGACACAGGAAGCTGTGGGTAGAGCAAGGAACTCAGTCCTGGATATTCTGACATGAAGGCGCCGGAGACAATCAGATAGCTGCCTGGCAGAGGTGCTCGGTACATTGTTGGAAATAGGGGTCTGGGGCTCACAAGAGAAATTTCACCTGGAGATGGACATGTGGACTGTACTAGGTAGGAAACAATGAGAGAGCCCTCATATGCAAAAAAAAAAAATCGTAAATCCAAGAGGGCATCCTGGAAAAGCCACCTTTTTAAAGGACGCAGAGGGGAAAGGGAGACGGAACAGAGAAAATGAGAGCAGGCACTGGGCCAAGGACCGACTTCCTGCACGTCATAATTTTGCTATAGATGAGACTTGCGGAGCACCTCTCCCCTCCCTCAATTACTTTTCTGTACAAACAGTACACTTCCGGGCTTCCATCTTGACACTTCTCTGGGGTATTCTGCTGTGATTCTCAAATCATAATGTCCACATAAATCACGTGGGAATCTTATTAAAATGTATATTCTGAGTCAAGAGGTCTGGAGTGGGGTCTGAAGCTCTGCATTTCTAACTATCTCTCCAGTGATGCCAATGCTGCTGGTCCATGGACCACTTTGAGAAACAAGGGAAGCGTTGGAAGTGTGAGCCCTCCAAAGCCAAGGGGAGGAAGCTCATCTCCTCAAATCCTCAAGAAGAAGAAAACTGAAACCAGAAAGTATATGTTTTTGTTTTTCTTCTTTTTTTGGGGGGGGTAATATATAACTAATTTTTTTTTTTTTTTGAAATTGAGGTATAACCGACATACAGCATTATA